ACGTTGAAAACACGTGCGGTATCCTCTCTTTTCTTCGTTGAAAAAAAAGAGAAAGAGAGAAAGAGAGCGCTCTATTTATCCCCCTCTTTCTTACTTTGGAGAAATATAAATAATATAAACTCGATGTAGAAGTGGTTGTTCAAAATATTACTATAAGCTAAATTTGAGGGGTTAAGTGCTCTAAAGTGGTTGGAAATTTACGACGAGAGTTATTCACTTTATGCAACCACCAATTACGTGTAATATCGAAATGCTCTGTTAGATAAGAGATGAAATGTTATCTCTTAAAGGAAATCTAAAAGATTAAAGAAAATAAAATAGATGGATAATGGAGATATCGAGATATTTTTTTTTTTAATTTATGTGATAAGATACTCGTTTTGTATCATTAATCCTTTCAGATATTACGAATAATTATTAAAAATTGAACGTAATATAATATTTTATGTGAATTGAAATTGTAATAATTTTGAGTTTGGATAATGTTGGAAAAAGTATGAGAAACTTTTTATTCTGTGGAATATATGCAAGAAATGTCATTGTTCTTTCTAATTAAAATAAGATATTATTCAACATCTAATTTTAAATTTTTAAACTTTATTAATTTATGAATTAATAATAATGAATTGAAAAGATATATGAATTGTGATAATTTTACATAAAAAGAATTAAAAGCTTGTAAATTTCTTTTCTTCTATTTTTTTTCTATTACACATGCTTATTGTTAATGCAACAGAATTTATTAAGACTTATTGCCTTTTACATAATTTTTGTTTGAACTTTGTCAAAGGAAGAAACAATCTTCTATCTTCTGTCTTGAAAACAAAATTACGATTGACGAATATTTCGATGGACGAAGATTCGATTCACTTCTTAAAATTCATAAATTTTTCCACGAAATTTCCAACATGTTACAATTAACACAAACTCACAAATGAGAAGATTGCAAAACTCTTCACTATTTTCTCCACCATTTTCCTTTTTACTCATCACTATCCAACCATCCAATCCTTCTAACTTTTCCAAAAAAAAATCCCGATTTCAATTCCTACGTCAACAAACTCCAATTCACTTTTGATCCACTTTTCAAAAAAAAAAAAAATTATTATTTCTACCTCGAAGGATGATCGAGGATCATCCCTCCCGATTGGAATAAATAAATTGGATGTATCCAATTTATCGAGTCGAGCCGCGATCAATATCATTTTCAATAAAGCCACAACCTCGACGAGAATTCGTTTCATTTGCGACAAAATTTCACGTCAAGCCCGCCCAATTGGAATTTAATAAAGATTCGATACGGAAATAATCGTAGTCGTCAACCAACCAACCAAAGTTTCCCAAAGGAGATGGTCGATGGAACACGTGGGTGTTCCTCTCTCCTAGCACAACAGGCTATAACAGCCTCCCTTCTTCCCCCCCTCTCCCCTCCTTTCCCTAGCTATTTACAAAATTTACCAGCATTTTCGTTTAATTACCTCTGCCACCTCTCGTACCAGATGCGGGGAGAGAGAGAGAGAGAGAGAGAGATTTAATGATCGTCCGCCCTTCCTTTTACCGGATTAAGGCGTAACTGATGCAGATAGATCGAATCATGATTGCTCGTCGAACGGCTCCTAATTGATGCAACTCTGGTTTCGCAGATGTGCAGCTGATGAACGTCGCCGGCCAACCTTTGTAACCTGGTGTCATGACGAGCCGATTATTACACCGTTCCAAATTCCTTGGAAACGCCGATTTCTCTCACAAATGGACGAACGGATTAATCCAGCACAACACACTCGATTCCTCACGAGATTAAATATTAATAATTTTAGGGAGAATAATAATTTACACGCATTTGTTTCGTCACGTGTTATTTAACTATGGGGTGCGCGTGAGGTGTGTTAATTATTTATTTAGAATTTTAATATCTAATTTGAAAGATTCGAGATCGGTTAAATTTCGATCGATAATTTTCTTTCTTCTCTTCTTCTTTTTTTTTTTCTTTTTCCGTTAATAAACAGGTTGGATTTAATGAGCACGTTAAACACGAGAATATCAAGCAAGTTGCATTGAATCTAGCACTTTTCTAGGTCATGGTGATCCGTGATCGTTCTCGCGTTACGATGGATATTAAAATGAAACATTACGTTTCTTGATGATTATTTTCCCATATCTTTCATAGTAGAAAATTGTTCACACCCCCATGCACCGATCGTCGTATCCCACACTCGCGATCTCGGGAAACAAAATCGGTTTTTCAACTGCAGAACGTTTCACAAGATAGGCATCCGCACAGGCAGGGATAAACAGCGTTTAACGCACTGGTGGATCGTGATGAATTTGGCACATAAACAAAATAGTTGGGAACAACTTTCAGAAAGTTACTTGCTCGGGTTCTGGGGCGTTCAGCTTCCGCTTGAATTTCGTGAAAATCATGTTGTTCCCCGATTTTTCGAAGCGGGTCACTTGTGTGAAATATTAGTCAAAGTGGCGTTAAAAGTGCCAATTTGCCGAGTGGTTTCTTGAAGAGAAAGAGTAAAAGAGA